GTGTGTGTGTGTGTGTGTGTGTGTGTGTGTGTGTGTGTGTGTGTGTGTGTGTGTTAGTTCTGTTAAGATTTGCATAAAAAACATCAACATGTTCAACAATCCAGGTAAATAAATTAATGAGTGCATAACGACATAAATGCAAACTCATGAGTGAGAACTTCAGCGCTCACACTTACATGTATAAAGTGTTTAATATTAAACGTCAGTAAGAAGAAAGCAGACATGTTTCAGTGCCGGTCCTTCCTCAGAGTTTCATGAAACATGTGAACACACGTCTCTGGCTCTCGCTGTAAGAACCACAGATTACAGATTAAAGCCTTCGAGGTCTGAACTCGTTTCTCTCCTGTTGACTCTGAGCTGTTTCAGTGTTCCTGACCTGGAAGCTACAGCGTGAACGACACCATGAACCTGTATTAGGAGGCACGATCTGTGGCTTTCAGTGTTATGAAGGAGGTTCCCTTTTCACTAGTGCACATCACCAACATACACTGAAGACCTAACCTAGTGTGAAATCCTAGAAGGAGGGGCCAAAGACTTTCCTGAAGAGCATCAATTAAAAAAAAAAAAAAAGAATATTTTCAGACCTGCTTTAATTTTTTGTAATATAAATAACAGGAAAACCTTCATTTATGCCATATTTAGGAAATGTATTTATTTTTTTTATCTCTTCATATTTTTCTAAAGTCATCGTTTTCCTTGCTGTGTAAAATCAGTCGCTCTGCTATCAGTAGACCTGTCCGTGTCTGTGATTGGTCAGAGATGGTCAGTGACACTTCTTAACACACTTCTCTTTACTTTGATCAGCTCTGGGCTTATTTATCAAACTGGCATCCATCTTTGCCTGACTGATGATAAGTGAAACCAGATAAGGAAAAGATGTCCTGACTAAGCTGAACCTGCTTCGCGGTACAACCTCCACTGTTTACTGGTGTTATTTAGTCAATCAATAGTACTCAGGTAGAAAATGTGCGATTATGTCACCAGTAGCCTGGTGATACAATGCAGGCTGTATCCACGCTTTAATGTTGTTTACACCAGATTTTCACCCGAGTATTCAAATGTGACAGCAGAAACTGAGACTCATCAGTCCAGGCAACATTTTTGCAGCTTTCTATTGTCTAGTTTTGGTGAGTGTGTGTGTGCAGTCTCAGTTTCCTGTTCTTAGCTGACAGAGTGGCACTTAGTCTGGTCTTCTGCTGCTGTGGCCCAGCTTCTTCAAGTAGATGCTCTTCTGCACACTTTGGTTGTAACAATAGGTTATTTTACTTCTTGTTGCCTTCCTAGCAGAGAAAGTTGCATAAATATTTTTTCTTCCTTATTCCGATGCTAGCTGTGAAATTCAGCAGGTTGTCTTGACCATGCACATGCTTGACTGCACTGAGCTCCATGAAATGTAATTGGCTGAAATTTGCATTAACAAGTAGTCAAGGAGGTGTACCTAATAAAGTGGCCAGCAAGTGCACACTTTGTATGAGGTTCAATGAGATTTTTTTAAAATTCAAAACTGTTCAGTAAAAACGTAAAAACTGTAATTTTGCCTGCCTCCAGGTTTGACGCTATAATGCTTTAAAAAAAATAAATAACTGTGCAGTGAGTTGAAAGTGAATTATTTATCTATTGTAGAGTAAGTACCACAGGATGGCGCACTTTAACTGTGTATGGTAAGGTCATGGATTGTAGTGATTCAGACAGCAGAAAACTAAAAGGTAAATGGACGGATTCTTCTATGGGACTTTTCTACTCTCAGACGCAACACAAGCACTGTCTTCTATGCTGCTAAGTGCCTACTAACTACCATTTACACTCTGATGGATGCCAGCTGATGCATCGGAGAGCAACTTGGGTTCATATCTTGCTCATATATCTGGCGTGCAGACTGGGGGGGAACCACCAACCTGCTCTACCTCCTGAGCCACAGCCACCCCAGCAGTGAAAGTTCCTCCAGTGTTTACTGTTATCTCAACTGTCGGTCACCAAACTGACTCACACTATTTTGTGGTAAAACAACAAACAAACTACTAATTAAACTGAACTCATTAAAGATGGGCAGCTACTCTAAACCAAAACTAGCCTCAAAGTTACATCAGTTTCAGAAAAAACATTTATTTTCTCTCTCAAACAAAATAAAAGAAATTATTGGCCTGTCTGGAGGCCTTACACCACTTAAAGATGTCTTTCTTTTCCTTGAGTATGAACTCCAAATTCAGTGAAGATGTCTTTACAGCTGATCAAACTGCTGGGAGTATTGTGCCAAAGATGGTTCATTTTAGTTCTTAACCAGCTCCACATCAGCCTGATTTTGTCATTTTTAAAATGTAAAAATAATCCTGTTACTTTTTTAAATCTTTCTATTAAATTCATGTCATCCTTTTCCTGTCTGTCCTTTTGTTTCTGCGATGTTCCACATTTGATGTTGACGTTATTTTTGTTGTTACCCAGCAGTTTGTAATAAAGGTCGTTCAGTGTGACGGGAGATTAAATTTAACATCCATCACTTTTTCTGTTTCTCTCTGTGATGATGGCAGATTAACAACAGTTAAAATGTTCCTCTAAGGATTTCCTCACTTTGCTGTACAACACTGTTTTGTTTTGTTTTACTTTTGCTGCTTCACACAGCATCACAGCTCAGTGCTCCATCTACAGGTGCATCCACAAGAAGCTGAAGGTGGAGAGCAAACAGATGTAATGATGGACAGTGCAATTTGAAGATAATATGGTTTCACTAATAAACATTACTTCTGCACAAAACAAATGTACAACACAGAGCAATTATTTTTGAAAAGTATCTTTATTGAAAGAGGTGCAAAAGATCCACATTCTATTTTCAAAAATATACAAGAAATGTGGTTTAGAAAAAAACATTTTAAAAAATAAACTTGTCACCATCGTATATGAGCGACTGTTTAGGCACCAATTCATTTTTCAGTAAAATGACAAAAACTGTCATTATAAATTCTTTTACATGTTACTATGATGCTGTTATGACAGCTTTCAAACACTGATCAAAAAGATAAAAAATAGAATAAAATTTGAGAATGACATCAAGGTTCAGGCTACGTCCACACGTACCCGGGTATTTTTGAAAACGCAGATTTTTCTATGCGTTTGCACCTTTTGTCCACACGTAAACGGCGTTTTGGTCACTGAAAAGGAGATTTTAAAAACGCCTGCTCAGGGTGGATATTTTGAAAAACTCAGTTTTTGCGATTTACGTGTGGACGAGGAAAAACGGAGAAAACGCAGCGTCAAAGGTGTGCGCATTTTTTGACGTCACACTGTGCGCCACGTTATTGTTTCGGTGAAATGAATTTCTACAATACTGTTAAATTCTACTCTCTGCAGTGTTTAAATGCTTACATATACACACAGTTACTGTCCCTCCACACATACGAACTCGGTTCTGCTTCTATGCCCCAGCTTTGTTTACTTTTTCCCACCGAGGCTTCTAGACTTCTGATTGGCCAACATTTCTGCACGGTTAGGAATCTAGCGCCACCTGTGCTTTGGCATGTTCATAGCAGCGTTTTCCTTCATTTCTGCCTTTATGTGTGGACGGGATTATTTTTTAAAACGAAAACGGAAAATCTCTGTTTTCAAAAATACCCGTGTACGTGTGGACGCAGCCTTATACACTTGAAAAACAAACTGACATATTTCCAAGCAGAAAACACTTTCATTCTGAAAAGTCATAGAAGCCGACTGGCTGAACAGCGCCTTTAAAAATATTTACTGTACAACAATTATTTACATGGCGTAATTTACATGACAGACACACACAATGTTATGAGCAGAAGCACAAGAAAAAGTGAATAGCTCAATACAAGTGCAATGTAAACAAAACCCACAAACATTCTTACATTTAAACAGTACGACTCTATAAAAATAGCATGTAATTACCGTATTATTTTTTTTACCATAAGAAGAACTGGATTATAAGACGTATTAAGCGAAACAAAAACAGTCAGATACATCAAACTTCACAATCACATCCCTTTTGCTGTGATTGTGCTTTTTCAGTGCAACTTTTGTAATGTTCAGCCAGAGGACAACAATCAGTATCCTGTCAAAGTAAGGAATAAAAATCATAGACTTAATATAAAGCCTCACAAATATCTTCAAACTCTAGGAGGCTGTGTTACGACCCGGCTCAAAAGTCGCAACATAAAAAAGCAGATGAATACCAGAGTGTTAGTCAGAAGAGGTTTTATCTTAAAATGGCATAGCAGGTTGGCTAAAATAGCTGGTACCACCAAGGCAAAGACTAGTGAGCTCTTCAGGAAGCTAGTCTCAGGTATGCTTTTATCCACACCTGACTAGGTGTGGCCAACTAGCACCAGCTGACCACACTGAGCAGATCAGAGGCTGCAGAGGGACGTAACACCTCCCTTAAAAGGGTTCCTCTAGGACCCCTAAATTTATTAAAACCCCTCTGAAGCCTTCAGGTCCTTGACCCACAAACCTGGAATAAAAGTAAAAGCTAACAGAAGCACAGTGTTCACATTAACACAAAACCAAAAGTGGCAACAAATAACCACAACCAAGTGATCTGTTGTCTCTACCACACAAATGGTCACATACAAGTGGCCTCATACCACAACAAGTTACTTTAATCCAATTCAGTAAAGCAAGCATACTAGTGACCAACCACAAAATGGAGAGCTATGGCCACACAATGATCACATCAAGGGTGGCTCAGCATCTGGCCAACACCACTCACAAGTGATCCAACCAGAGTAGCCATATTCCCCACAACACTAAAGGTCACAGCACAAAACACTCACCACACGAGGATCTCATTAGCATCCATCAACACACATTATGCCAACTTAAAAACGACCCATCCGCCTCAGCTACAGACCATAATTAACAAATTGTCTCAAACCTCTCGCCGAGTTTGGTGCCAC